TTAAAAAAAGGTAAGAAGTTTAATTATTTAAATGTGAGTCACGCATTTGAAATACCCAGCAGCACTGGTGTTTCTTAAGCTTAGCTATGCGTGTCTTGAAGGCTGTGGTAGTCAGGGTGTCCCCTGAGATGTGGGAAGGGAATGGGGACGCAGAGGTGTGTCAGACACTGCTGTGTGATGAGAAATGGTTGGCCATGTGCTGTACCTTTCAGATATGTTATCGTGAATTAAGTCAAGATGAAGCCACTTTTCAGCAGGTAGCTTAAAGCAGCTGACTGTGAGGGGCTGCACTGTAACTGCTCTCCCAAACTTGCTGCCTGGCCGGAATAAATTTGCCCCACCCCTCAAAACCTATTGACAGATTGTGTGAATTTTGCTGCAAGTGATTTGGATCAGCATCTTTCTCATAAAATTATCAAAAGGATTTTAAGTCCTTTTTGTCTTTAAGTCTCGTACAGAATAAGAAGATCTGTCTGCACTGACTGTCATATTTATGCACTAATACTGCAGTGTGACACCAAGTAGAAAGCAGTGAAACAAAACCCCTTTACATTTAGAAAATATTTCATCTACTGATTTTGTTAATAGTACCATTTATTAGAAGCCCACTGGATTTTGTATGCTGTAACTTATTTCATTTTATGTTTATATTATTTTTATGTTTTATATATAATACATATATAAATTAAAAATTTTATTCATTTCATATATTTAAGCAAATGAATAGCAAATAAGTTGATTCAGTTGTAAAAGGATTAAATGAACTTCTTAATGCCTTCCATTACTTTTATTCTAGGGCCTGGAGCACCTGATAAAAATTCAACTATCAATATGTTCTTCATTTAAAAAATTATTTTAAGGGATACATCTGCCCTACCAAGATACTAAGGCAATTAATTCCCCCCCCACCGTGGCTGACTGCTGTTTCTCCAATTTTTTGATGCAATTCATGTCAGATCTCATGGAATCAATCCAGTGATTTTGAGAAATACCTTTTTTTTAATTGCTCACAATAGCATTTGTGTCTTTGAAATTTTTCTCTACTTACAAACAAGGAATAAGTGCCATCAGAGCTCGGCTGTTTGCTGTTCCCCCACCATGGTGGTGTGGTGGTATTTTTAAAAGCAGATTCTACGCATCTGTTAAGACAAAGTCTGTTATAAGACATGTAATGTAACAAGGGTGATATGATTTCAGATCAGCTGATACATTCATCCATGAAGGAAACACATCGTAGATCCTGTAAGAAATTCACTTGGCTTTGTGTGCTGAAACAGATCTGTTGACAGTAGCTTTATCTGTGGAGCTCTTAGATAGTCATTAAAATGATTAGTCCTGATCCATTTAGGGTACTGAGTCCCACAAATTCTTTGTAATGAAGGTCCATCTCCTTGTAATGCCTGTGCACTGCTGCAGTGAAAGATTGTTATTCGTTGTGGGAGTTTATAAAAGCTACAGCAGTTTAAATGTAAAAGGCTTTGATGGTTATTAAAGTATTTCACATCCCACAAATCTTGCCCCTCCCAGACCACCATGGCAATAAACCAACTATGATCTATATCATAGTCATTATTATCGTAGTGGTTTGCAACCAACTTTGTGAATCAACACAATGAACAAAGTAATAATGCGCGCTGGGTCTGCCCTGTTTGAAGTGAATGCCTGTTGGTGCTTAGAATCGCAACTTCTGGTGACCTTCAAAGTCCTCTCTAGGCAGAATACGATACCTTATCTGGAGCGATAAAGATGTGTGTGCCGCAGGTCAGAGTTGAGTTTTATCACAGCAATTTCTTCTCAGCCAAAAGCCGGTTGCTTTTACATTGTTTAGATATGTGTGTGTATGCACATAGTCGAATATATGCTTTATGTGTTTGTATTTGTTTGTATAGTTACTGTATTTACTAATAGTTCCTATATTTCTATATGCAGTGACACTCAAATCTAAAGAAGCAACCAAACAAAAAAACGCTCTCTGACTTTTTTCCTAGAAATAAGAATATAATGGGAGAACCATATGTGGATTATCATCAGTCTTCCTCTACTCATCTTAGTGAACTTGTGGGTTTAGTGAGTTTGCCTGCTGCCACCACTCTTACACAAGTGTCAGGTCCTCTAAATCAGGTTGCTGTTGCTTTTATTGATTCATTTTAAGGAACAGTAAGAAATAAGATTTTAAGCATTTTTGATCGGTTGTTACAGCAGAGTTACTTTTTCAAGTTTCTCACAGGAAGGAAGAAGGATGATGTTACATTTAATGCTGAACTGGTACTGAGATCTAGCATTCGCTCTTAGATCTACCACAGACTTATTAAGCCTGAAACAATATAAATCCTCTCTTTGTCTCAGTTCTCTTAAAATATAAACAATGCTTGCTAAGAGATGTTTGACTAAAGTCGTGTATGGAAGTTATTAAAAGGAATAAAGGGCAAATTAAATTTGACCTTTATTTGAGTATTTCAGTACTGGTAGTGGGAAATGGTTGTCAGTCTTCCCTGGTGGTGTCTTTGAATGATGGAAGAACAGTGCCCAGCTGAGCCGACAGCCACAGTTTCAGGGTCTGCTAGATGGGAATTGAATAGTTATGCAAATTACATTATAGAAGGAAGTTAAAATTATTTTACTACATCTAATCTCTATGAACTTTTTTCCACTGCTAGTTTCTGTGTTAAGAACAATGTTTAGTTCTTTATTTTAGCAAGAAAATATTTTATCCATTGCATTTTAAGAAATTATGAAATTACTTTAGTTCTGTCCAGATTAAAATAGAAACATGACTTTCCATTTCCACAGTCCCGTGAAAGTATCAATCATATGTGAAAAGTACTTTATTTACTACAGTAACCCACCTTTTGCTTTTTTGCATTTTTAAAATAGTTGTTTATGCCTCTTCTTTGCTTGAACTACTAAATTAAAAAAGTAACAGTATGATGAGCAAAGAGCTCATTAAAATGCTTAGGTGACTAAGATAGTTTGACAGTCTTATTTGAGAGGAATGAAGAGATAGCTCTATATTATACTTGAAAATATAACAAATATGTGGGGTGAATGACAGAAGAGGAACAAATTGAAAAATTGAGTATTTGTCAAAAAATGCCCCGCTAACAGTTTGGAGAAGCAAGAGCTGAAGAGCCCCTGCTAATCTTCAGTCTGACGCTATATTTCAGGAAGAGATTGTTCTCCCTAGTAACTAACATCTGAATTGATCTATTGACTGTTAGGTTTTGAATTCTTTTAGTTTGTGTCTTATCTGCTCATATGTGGTGTTTTTAACTGAATATTTTCCTTGGCTTTATTCGAAGAGTTTGAAAGCAGCGTGAATTTGATGGCCATCCCTTTGCCTTGTGTTGTGTATCATGTTAGACCTTGACTTTGTAATACTGTTTTACTCAAGTAGTCTGTGCAGGTTGTCTGGCAATGTAGACATGATATGATCAAGTCCAGGTGAGGAGTTGCTCATGCATCTTGCTCTCTGCATCACAAAAAAAAAATACTTCAAGTATCTGAAGTGTTTTAATGTAACACTATTCTGCATGGTTGGTGGTGGTTTCTCTCAGTAATGTCTCTGAAGCTGTGTTTGCGGAGACTTGAGCATGGGTAGCAAGAATATTGTGGATGAATCTGGAATGGGTGAGAGAAGCTGAGAACCTTGGAAATTAGGACGTAAGCGGAAATTGGGAGGAAGAGCTGTGACTCTACAAGGACTGTGTGTGGCTAACAAAGACTGTGAGCAAGAAGACCTTTAAGAGCTTTGGGACATAACATAAATGTAGTGAAGGGACTTGTGGAATGGTAGTGAAGAGTATTCGGGCAGAAGGATTCAGGAGGCTCTTAACTTTGGTCCTCCAGTGTTGGTCTATAGAGCTGTTCCAGCTGTTTCTGAAACAGAATAGGACTGGATGCATGCTTTCTATAAGCATCAGTTTGCTTACTATGCTGCACTGGGACAGGATAATTCAGTTGAGGTGTTGCCCACATTCGTTAAATGGACCTGTCAGTTCTTGTGGTATAGAATCTGAAATGCTGTAAAACGTTTCTTCAGTGATAAGGACCACTGAACATTTTGTTTAATTTCTTGGTTTTATGTTGTGTAACTGAGATCTGATCTGGAAAACATTTTCTTTGTGCTGCTATAATGCAGTTATTGGAGTGAGGAATTGCTTTCGGATCTCTAGCCCAAGACTATGCCTTGAAAGCATTTGTAAAACACTGGTACTTATGTATCCAAATGATTCCTGCTGTGGGCAGATTGGATTATACCAAGCCTAAAATTTTACCTTGTTCTGATTATATTTTACAGGATCGGGGAAGAGGCATAGCTGGCAGCTTCTCCTCCTTTTCCCTATGTATGAGGGCTTTCCTCATAGTAAGGCATAAATTCTGAGTAAACTCTGCAATCGGGAGAGATACAGCACAGTGTGAATGGGGTAGCTCTGAAGAAACTGCAGTGTCTTATAATTGTGTTTACTGAACAGTAATAATGGAGAGTGCTGTAGCCTTCGCAATACGTCTCCTTAAATCTCCCTTTAGTGTTTCTGAACAAAACAATGACATAACCTATACACACAGTACTGTCAAATATAGGAGAGAAACTGAGTAATTTATCTGTCTGAGAGAGCAATAAATGTTTGTCCTTCTTATTATATTAAAAAGTAGGTAGTTTTAAAAGCATTGGTTTCAAAATAATAGCGACAGCTGAAATAGATGTCTAGAATTTGTATCTGCAGTCTTTAACTGCTTTGTAATCCTCAGTGACCGTATCCTCTCCCTTGTGAGTCTGGGAAATACTGTCATCGCAGCTGTAGAAACTAAGAACTGAGACACAAACTCAGCGTGTTGTCTGGGATCACCCAGAATATCTGCGCAGAGTAGGGTACTGAACTAAGGATTCTCTGGGTCTAAGCTTGACTTGTAATGATTAAATAATGCTTTGGGCTCCAGTTCTAGCACTGCTGATATCTTCTCTATGATTCTTCCCCCTTTTTTGGGGGGAAGTGGGGGGAATGACTGAGGTGGTGTTGGTAACTCAAACTGACAGACCTATTTAATGCTTGTAAAGCTCTTAATATTTTTCTATCTCAGAACCTCACAAAGATGAAATTGATGTTAGCATTTTATGGCCAAGTCAGCATCTTAATACCATAACTGAATTTGTGTAAATGTATTTTAGGTTTCCTATGTGATTAGAGATGAAGTGGAGAAGTATAATCGAAATGGGGTAAATGCACTTCAGCTGGATCCAGCATTAAACAGACTCTTCACAGCAGGCCGAGACTCCATTATAAGGATATGGAGTGTCAATCAGCACAAGGTAAGTCAGGAGATGATTCCTCAGTCTAAACCCACTTTTTTCCACGTTGTCATGCTAGTAAGCTGTCTACAGCTATACATCCAATACTGTGTTTTAACAGCTGCCGATTATTATAATAGGAAAATCATTTTGGTATTGTTCATATCGTAACAAAATATTTGGGACTTTACAAACTTACATTTGGGCTTGTCCTCCAAAGAACTAGTCACAGCTGAGAGAAAAAAAGTTAAATATTGAGTGATGTCATTTCCAGTGATAAAGGAGACATAACTACAGTTACTAGGACTGTGTATATTCTGTTAGTTATTAGAAGAGTATGTTGTGTTGAAGACAGAGAACTAAATTATTAGTCACAGAATCACAGAATGGTTGAGGTTGGAAGGGACCTCTGGTGCAGCCCCCCTGCTCAAGCAGGGCCACTGAGAGAACCATGTCCAGACAGCTTTTGAATATCTCCGAGGATGGAGACTCCAAAACCTCCCTGGGCAACCTCACCCTCACCATAAAGTGTTTTCTGATGTTCAGAGGGAACCTCCTGTATTTCGGTTTGTGCCTGTGGCCTCTGGTCCTGCCACTTGCTACCACTGAAAAGAGTCTGGCTCTCCCGTTTTCACACTCTCCTTTCAGCTATTTATGTACATTGGTGAGATCGTCCCTGAGCCTTCTCTTCTCCAGGCTGAACAGTCCCAGATCTCTCAACCTTTCCTTATGGGAGAGGTGTTCCACTCCCTTGATGATCTTTGTGGCCCTTTGCTGGACTCTCTCCAGTATGCCCGTGTCTCTCTTGTACTGGGGAGCCCAGAACTGGATGCAGTGTTCCAGATGTGGCCCCACCAGTGCTGAGCAGAGGGGAAGGATCACTTCTGCTGACCCGCTGGCCATGCTTTGCCTAATGCAGTCCAGGATACCATTTTCCTTCTTTGTGGCAAGGGCGTGTTGCTGGCTCATGTTCATCTTAGTGTCCACCAGAACCCCAGGTCCTTTTCTGCCAAGCTCCTTTCAGCTGGGTGGCCCCAGCTTATACTGGCGTATGGGTTCCACTGAACAAAAGGCCGGTGTTAGGAACTTGAGCAGATGACTGGAAACCAGGACTTCCATGTAAAAGGTGCAGAGTATAAAACTTCATGAAGTTCATGACTTGGAGAAATCCTGAGAGATCTTTGTATTGTGTTTTGATTGTTCTGTTCCTCTCTGCAGCAGAACAAGTCCAATCCCATAAATGAAAACTTAATATTAGTTTGACGGTCCCTGTTGCTTTGGTTAGAAGTATTTCTGTGATACAAAACCAAACACTTTAAGGTGAAATTGTAGAGGGAATGAAATTGTGAGTTTAAAATGTATAGGAATTATACTAAAAACTAATTTGTGCTATCTTACATAGCTGTATAGTTCTTTCACATGATAATTCTGGAATAGTGACTTCAAGCAACTCTACATTAGGCAACGTTTGATGCATTTGAAGGTTGAAAAGATGTCACAACAGGATCTGATAGTCACAATGTTTTCCATTCGTGAAGAGATCTTACAGACTTTTTTCCTTATTTTACAGCAAGACCCTTATATAGCATCTATGGAACATCACACAGATTGGGTAAATGATATTGTGCTCTGCTGCAGTGGTAAAACATGTAAGTACTTAAATGTTTGAAAATGACAATATTCAGAAATTATGTATAAAAGTATATTATCTACTGCTTTAATTATTTTCCGTCTTCTTAGCTCGTAAAATTAATTTGTGTAATGTGTATTTTAAGTTTGGTAAGTAGTGTAAGGAGGTGTTTTACTGACAATTTAAATGTGTTTAGATATGCTTCTTTTAATCTTTTTGAAAAGGAAATTAGAGCAGTACAAATATGCTCTAAAGTAATATGTAAGCCACTAAAGCTTACTCTTTATTCTTTCCAATTTAGTGATATCTGCTTCTTCAGATACTACTGTTAAAGTGTGGAATGCACATAAGGGATTTTGCATGTCAACGCTAAGGACACATAAGGTGAAAAACATTATCTGTAAATACTGTGTGTTTTCATTGACAGTCTTTTAAACATTAACATGTAGACCTCAAATGGATAATATTGTTGATTTGTGTTGTTATATTTACTTTATTGTAGGATTATGTGAAAGCCTTAGCGTATGCAAAAGATAAAGAACTGGTAGCATCTGCTGGACTGGACAGACAGATATTCCTCTGGGATGTGAATACTCTAACAGCACTGACTGCCTCAAATAACACCGTAACAAGTAGGTACCCTAGGGAGGGGAGGCAAATGCAATGCATTTTATTGAGTAGCGTAATCTGTGAGATCAATTTAAGACTGTAGATACCAGTTTCTGTGCGTACATGGAAAATGTGCAAGAAATTTCAAGGTGGTTTTAGTGTGTACTCAGTCCATTTGTTGCATTATATAATAGCTGAAAATCTAGATCAGCCAACAGTTGTGGAATTTAGAATAGGGACAGGTTTCTTTGAACATTTTCTCCTGCAATGTAATGTGCTGGTGTTCTCTGAACAAGTACAGCCTTGTGCTGGCAGGTCTGTGTAGCCTTCAGAAGAGAGATTGCTTCTAGTGAGTTCTGTTGGACTGCAGGATAGTGTTGGGATGGCACGTGACTGCATGTAACCGAGTAGATTTACCTTCTATTTCTCAGACATCTTCTTTCACTGAAAATATAATTATTTTATCACCAAACTTTACTGATAACTGTAAGTTATGCTATCTTCTGGTTGAACAGGGTGTTTTTTGAAGGAAGAATTTATTTGCTGGCTCACAGGAAAATTCAGTTATGGGAGGGGAAAAAAAAAAGGATTTCTTGAACACCATGGAAGTGATATAGAACCTAAGTGATTCAAGTGAGTCATAATTGGAAGATGGGGAGTAATGAGGAACTGATGCTTGTTTTGAGCTCAAGATCAAACAGAAGCGGAGGCATTACCTCTGAGATGATAGAAATAAATTTGCATTTCTGGAGGTAGAACAGTAATGCTTCATAAGGGGGAGGAAGGGGAAGCACTTCCTAGTGCTCCCAACTAACAGTGTTTCTGTTGGGAAGAACACGGTATGTGTCCTTAAAGCAGCTGGTTTTCCTCAGTCCTTTCTAACAATATTGCTTTTTCAGAGTGCAAATGATTTTTTTTTTTTTTTTTTGGTGCATTAATTTCTGATGTGATTACAGGAAGCAATGTACGCAAGCATTAAAAAGGACGTCTGTTTTTAAGGAGTCTCTCAGCCAGCATAGCCATAAGTTAAGTTAGGTAGAAAGATTTTGCTTTTGAGAGGTAGTCCCTTCCAGAAGAGGGTGAAGTTGAGCTTTGCTTTAGTTCTGGCATAAATTTTGCTTCTGTACGCTTCAGAGTCTCTCTTCCATTCCTGGCGTCCAGCTTGTGATAGCTGTACCTTATCCTTTCACCAGTTATTATGGTTGTTTGACAGTGTGCTGACCTTGAGGAGTTTTCAGTCCTTTTCACCTTCAAGCATTCTGTGGGGACAGTGGAAGACTATCGCTTTATTTTGTCTACAAATAATAGATTTCATTTGAAAGTTTACATTTGGGTAGCCATGGCTAGTGGTTAGGAGGACCCTGAAGTAAAGCTGCATAATTCTTCCACTGTGACAAAATGCTTATGATACTGGGTTGCAAATGCTGTGTTAGAAACTTATATCCGTATTGTACGTAAATCGTTAGGTAGTTTCCTGTTTTTGCGAGCGAGACAGTTTGTTGCTATTCTCAGCCTTTTTGGTGTACATTAAATGCCTCATGGTGCTCTCTAAATAGACGATTCTCCTTCGCTGTGTCTGTGCTTTTCCCCGTTGAGGGACTGGTACTTTAATCTGTCCAAAAGTAGATCAGGCTAGATGGTGCAGAATTCCTCAACTCTGATGGTAGTTGTGATGCTAAAGAGTTGCCATATGGTCTTCCCAAACACAGAGGTAGCATCCGTTCCCAAGTAACACATTTCAGCACTGCAGTGTAGCTTCAGTAATGCATCTCTGCTGAGTTAAGAGGAAAGCCTTTAATATATAATGTAGAATTTTACTGCTACTTGGCTTGGAAAAAAATCTCTGTAAATCCAAATGCTGCGTATAAGATCACATAGAAGTGTTGTTCGCTAATAAAGTGGTTTTGAAGAGCAAGACCACCTTGATGGTCATGGCTGTGAGTTGTGGTGCCAAAAGAGCACCAGGATTCTGAAGACCTTAAGTTTTATGCAGCAGTAGATTAAGAATTGGGATGGGGTTTTCCTAGCAATATGCTGTCTATAGTCTTTCTTTTTTTTAAAGCAACTCTATATATGGGGTAGAGTGGTACTACTTTCATGGATCAGAGGGTATTAAAGTATCCAAAAATACCATTTTTGAGTGAATAAGTATGTTTTTCAGATGACAGTGTTAAAATTGAAAATGTAATTCTTGTTTTCAAATAGCTTCTTCCCTGAGTGGGAACAAAGATTCTATCTACAGCCTCGCAATGAATCAAATGGGAACAGTTATTGTATCGGGGTCCACTGAAAAGGTAAGCAAAAATCTGGTAAGGCTTATTTCATGTTTCACTTCAGTTCAAAGTTTAGTGTAAAGAGAGAATTTTGTTAATTTTCAATGTCATGTCTGTAGCAGCTTTTGTGTTTTTAATAGTGAGGGTAGACACTGTTGTGTGTTGTTTTTTTTTTAAGCGGGTGTGTAAGTGTAGAATACAAATACCAGCCTCACTCCGAAGATGTGTATATATCCATATAGCGGTAACAGACAGAAGAGACAAACAGACCATCTTGTGTGACCCTCTCTATATTAGAGATCATTACGTTTCACCCCAAGGGCTCTGATTTTGCGGGGCACATTACTCAGATGATTATAAAAGCTGAAGCAGTTGCCACAGACAAGAAAGAAGTGATGCCAGCAATTTGTAAGACCCCTGCAGGAGGTGGGAAATGAAGTGAGCTAATGAAATACAAGTGTTCCCAAGAGATAGTTCATGTTCCTTGTTGTAAAGGAAGCTGAAACACCCAGAAGTCCACTGCAGGTTGTTTTTTCTAACATTGCAAAAATTTTATTTCCAAGTCAATGTAAAAATAAAAATAGGATACACCAGCTAAGCATCTGAGAGGATTCTCAGAATCTTTTTTTTTACCCACATAACTCTATCCTGTTTCCAGCCACTTCTATTCTTTAATTTCTTAAGAAGACAGAAAAAGCCAGAACAAATGCAATTAAAATCAAGCGAGAAAATCACATCTGATTATTAGAGGTGCATAAGATCTAGTTATGTCTATCTTTTTCTAATGAAGTATGTTTTTGGTGATGCATGTATGCATGTTCAGAATACGGGTCAGTTTATTCTGAAAAGCTTATTTTTCTGTAGAGAAAATGCATTGGTGGGAAGGATGGTGTTAATGCCAGTTACCCAATGTCTACTTCCATAGGTTCTAAGGGTGTGGGATCCGAGAACTTGTGCAAAACTAATGAAACTCAAAGGGCACACGGACAATGTAAAAGCTTTGTTGTTGAACAGAGATGGCACCCAGGTATGTGCTTTAACTTGAGACAAAGGCATTTTACAGAACACAGAAATGTCTTTAGTTTTTTTCAATAGGATAACTGTTTTATGTCATAGATTGCAGAAGGTAGCTTAACAAGTATTTGACAGATATTTAGTGGTTAAGGGAAGGATGCTGGTGGGCGAAAGCTCTATTTTATTACAGGTGCACGTAGGTATGGGGGGCTGGTTTACATAAGGTATCTGGAAATTCTGACTGGAGCTGTTAAGTGCCAGTATTCATTTAGCCCCATCTTGATGGAAAAATTTAACCATAAGAATTATGAAAGCTCTTTATGGAAAAAATTATTTTAAAAAATTGAAATACCTGCTTGATTTAAGTATGATGGTTGTTGCTCAGTGTCTTTCAGGCAGCTCTGATGGGACTATCCGCCTGTGGTCCCTTGGGCAGCAGAGATGTATAGCCACATACCGAGTCCATGATGAAGGTGTTTGGGCTCTGCAGGTCAATGAAGCCTTCACTCATGTTTACTCAGGAGGAAGAGACAGGAAGATTTATTGTACAGATTTACGAAATCCTGATATCCGTGTGCTTATCTGTGAAGAAAAGGCACCAGTTCTTAAGGTAATTGATTTTAATTCTGAGAATCACGTAATGGTTGAGGTGAGAAGAGATCTCTGGGGGTCATCTGGTCCAATATCCCTGGTCAAGGGGGTACACCTAGAGCTGATTGCCCAGGACCGTGTCCAGATGGCTTTTGAATATCTCCAAAGATGGCAACTTCACAACCTCTCTGGGCAACCTGTGCCACTGCTCAGTCACCCTCACAGTAAAAATGTAATTGTGTTGCGTGCTATCTAACGAAATAGTGGCTGGAGGTATAAGTAGGTAAAAGAATGTGTATTGGGTAACAAGTGTTTACTACACCGCATCTTCAGTATATTGGCTTTGTCTTCTAAATTACATCTGAAACTTATTTGTTTGACAAAGATAAATGCCTGGCAGCTTCCTAAAATATGCAAATTGAGATATTACTGAAAATGAATGTGCTTCAAACATGAAAAGTGGTTTTTACCTGACTCTAGTACGGTTTTAGGAAACTAAGCTGGCATTGACAAGGCTTTAGACAAAAATGGATGTTTCTTCACAGCAATACATATGCACAGGACTGTGTTAGAATATGTTGCATACCCGTGGAAACCAGGAGTAAAATTTGTTGTGGATTTTTTTGAACACCTGAACATGATGTTTTCTGAACTGGAGGAAACTGCATGCACAAGTCTGAGTCTTTTGAAGAGACTGCTGTGTGGATTTTTTTTTTTTTTTGCTGTCTGTAACTTTAGATGCCATGACCTTGAAACATGTGGGGGTGTGAGGAGTGTGCGATTGAAACAGATACCAGTATATAAGCAATCTGGCTTTCATTGTGAGTGAACTCTGTTGGCTTAGTATGTTCAGATAAAATCCTGGATATGTTAATGTAGTTTTGAAAAAGTCAGAATCTGAGAAATTTCGTTCAAAATGGAAAACGAAGGCTATGGTCACCTGTACAAAGAAGGGGTCTCTAGTGTCTTAGCTACAGTGATTCGTTATTTTCCAAGAAACGTAACAGCAGAGCCAAACGTATAAAGTTCTGCTGGTGCAGAACTTCTTACATTCTCTTTTTAACCATGTGAAATATTGGAATGCAAAGTAATTCAGAAAATATTGCACTTGTCAAACTGTCCACTGGACAAGATTGCATCATGCTAGAAACAACTTTAAATACTGGTTGTTTAGACATGTTGCATCTACTGCTGTCCGTGCCCAGAACTTATGTGTTGAATATATGAAACAATTTCTCTGGAGTTTCAAAAAATGCAGCTTAGTTATTTTTCATTTAAACTTTGTATTTCTTTAGTTAACTGCAAGTAATGCTGTTTCTGAGATACACTGAAGTATGGTAGCAGGTCCACACAAAACAAATATTAATTGAACAAAGGAAAATTAAGTTAAGCATGCCTAACAATATCTGTGGTTTCATTATGTAGATGGAACTTGATAGATCAGCTGATCCTCCTCCAGCACTTTGGGTTGCAACAACTAAATCCTCTGTCAATAAATGGGTAAGTGATATATTTTACACTCCCTGAGTTCAGTTAAGTAGTCATGGGATTTGCAGTCTTGGTTTAGGAACTGTTGGACTGTTTCTTGCTATGATCTGTAAGCTTTCTTTAAAAAAAAGATAAAATACTGATATTGAAATAGATCAAAAGAGACTAAGCTTTGAATTACTTCCTTTGCTATCTATTTATGTTGCTTTTAAAAATAAATTATCTTACTCAGAACTGGACGGTTAACGTCTAAATGGCAGCATGAAGTGGCTGTTGTTACTCACAGATAAAAACCAAGCTTATAGGCTGTTGTGAATGTGTCATTATTTTGTTTCTTCAGACTTTGAAGGGAATTCATAATTTTAGAGCATCTGGAGATTATGATAATGATTGTACCAATCCTATACCACCCCTGTGCACACAGCCTGACCAAGTTATAAAAGGTAAACAGCTGTTTTCTAGAGTATGTTATAAAATCTGTTGTCATTAGCAGAAATGGTGGATCTTTAAGACTGGCTCAAGTTTTTAGGTAGTTGATACTATGATTTTAACTGAAACAAGACTGTGGTTATCATCTGCCTAGTATTCAAATAGTGTTTAAACCTTGGTGATATCGAAGCCTTACAGAAAATAGTGAAACCAAAGAATAATCACACATGTCATGTTATACAGTTGAATTTAATGTATTATTAGGAAAAAAAATCACTGTAGTGACTTTAATTCTTGTTTGCTTGCTAGGGGGTGCTAGTATTATTCAGTGCCACATTCTTAATGACAAGAGACACATATTAACCAAAGACACAAATAATAACGTGGCATACTGGGATGTCTTGAAGGTAAGTATATAATTTCAGGTTAAGCATCTACTGTTGGATGATTAATTATTTTGTACCTTTTTTATATATTTTTTTAGCCCATGAGATTCCTGTTATAGAAAGTAAGTCATCTTTCTGTCCCAAGATGTAATGCAAATACTGCTTTTGAAAGGGGAGGGGACATTTCTGAGCTTTTCTGCATCTTTGCCGGACATGAGGCTGACCTGCTCATTCACCTGGATTCAATGAAGTATTGACATCTTCATTCACCTGAAATTCAGACCCTTGAATTCTCTCCTGAAAATAGTAATGTTTTTTTTGATTGGGTTTTGTTTCACAGAAGGCTCGTAGACGCCCATGGGCATGTCTGCCCAGTGCAGTATGGAATAGCATGAGAAAGCTTAGCCTGCAAAAGGGAAACCTGTGCTTCAGGTCCTGCTACAAACCCACTGATCCCAAGCAAATGTGCTGACTAGTAGTCTGTGGATTATTCTGGCAGTGTGAAATCACCACCTCCTTCCTTAGCTGGCAAGACAGCAGGCAGGAAGGCAGGACTGGAAGGAGAGTTAGCAGAAGGAAGTGTGGCTCCCACCAGGTGTTACTTGCTCCTGTGAGAAGAGACAGACTTGGTGTGGCATTTCTTGACTTGCTTTATCCAGTGATTGGTCAGAGGAGAGGGAAAGGACTGGAATCCCAGATCAGTGAGATGGTCAGCAATTTCTTCTCTTCCAAAATCCTGTTTGAAATTCTAAGTCTTTTTTTTCATCTTGAACTATGTAGCGCTTCAGCCAAGATTCAGTACTGAACTAAAGCATGCTCAGTTAACTCACCGAGTAGCTGACTGAAGTGAGAAAGAAGGGAATTAAGTTGGAGAATGTAGATTTCTACTAAAAATTATCTAGATGACTTTTCTGGAAAATCGAATAGTTTTTTTTTTCTTTCCATTTACAGTTGGTATGCATTTAAGTACAGCATTAGATCTCAGGACCAAAGTCAAATGCTATTGTACTTTCATTCAATTCTCCTTCTCTTTTTTCAGTAAGGGTTTCAGAAGCATCTCTTGGATATGTTTAAATACATACCCGCTTTAGAGACAGGGTTACTTACCAGGCCAAAGTGTCATCTTATGTGTAGGATCACTGCACTCTAAAGCTGAGACTCTTTACTGAGGATGCTGGAAGAGAGGAGGTTTTCTTACCCTAGCTACACCCTTCAATCTTTGCTTCCTGTAACTTTTCCTGGATTTTGAGGAAATAAGTCCTTAGAGTTTGCTTAAAGTACGTTTCGGGACTCTGCAAGTGGATGACAAGAATTTGGCTGTTAACAGACTCACTTGAGGAACTTTAAAAGTATAAAATAAAACAGATAGGTAAACTAATACAGGAAAAAAGAATTTGCACACAAATTCAGTCACTGCTGTTCCCATTGCAGTAGTTCAGCTGAATTTGTTGCTCGATTTGCAACAAATATTTGTGTTTGGTGGAGAGTTGTACTGAAATATTGATAATGATGGGGAAAAGAATAACAGAGGATGCTAGAAGACACCTATCTGCACAGTGATAGGGAAAATTTGTTTTATTAATATGAAGTAATACTTCTATACCGCTCCACAGGCTTGATGCCGCTAACTCGGAAATAAATACTAAATAAAAAATAAAAATTACTTACCACATCAACTATTGTTCAATTTTTTTTTTTTGAAACATTTGAACCTGTAACTTGTGTGTTTCTGGACTATAGTACTCATGAAAAAATCATAAGTCGTAATCATTCAAAGTGTATACAGAAGTCAAGTAAAAGATTTGGGGTGTTGATATAACTGAATTCTTGGAATTTAAAACCTTGTGTATTTCTTTTGGTGTACAGGCATGTAAAGTTGAAGATCTTGGGAAAGTAGATTTTGAAGAAGAAATTAAGAAGAGATTTAAAATGGTGTATGTGCCAAACTGGTTCTCAGTAGACTTGAAAACTGGGGTGAGATACAACTATATCTGTTGTTTTAATCTCATATTTCATGTGTTTTCATATACTGTTTGTTCACAAAGTTTTTAGTGTGTCATAAGTTTAAAGAACGATCATCATTTATCTGATGGGTTAGGTTTATTTTGAAGCAAACTAGCAAATTTTACCTCTGTTCTTAATAATCTGAATAACAGATTTTTTTTTCCTCATGTTATGGTCAGTTTAAATCCACTTGTACCAATTATGAATTAATACAGTATGGTAAACAAAATGTGCTATCATGCATTTAGAAATTCTTTGTTTTGTATTCCCAGCTAAGTATGAATGAATTTATAGACTTGTTTAATACAAAACAGCTATTGCATTCCTCTTCCTGGTGGTCTTTTTCCAACAGATGTTGACAATTACTCTGGATGAAAGTGACTGCTTTGCAGCGTGGGTTTCAGCAAAGGATGCTGGATTTAGCAGTCCAGATGGTTCTGATCCAAAATGTAAGTTTTAACTAATATTGGTGTTTTACTGAAACAAACCAGTATGTATGTTTCAAAGTATTCCAGTGCCACATATATCAGCAGTTGATTGGATTTTAAGGCTTGTTTTCTTGAGACTAAATTCTGCAGAGAATTCTCAGGTGATAGTGTTTGCTTTTTTCAGAAACATTTTGGTAATGTTCAGGTTTTCTATTTAACTTGGTTTTAAACCTTCAAGAAGCAAAACAGAAAAAGTAATATTGCTAACCTTGGATCTATTCCCTAATGTAAAGAATGTTACAGCATGTGAGTGATCCAGCAGTAGTGATTCTAAAACCAGCTTTTTCTGAAAGATTGTAACGTGCAGCTCTGTGATAAACAGATTCCTGTGCCTATAAATAGTTTGTTTTGCGAACAGAACTGCTCAAACTTTTGGGAAAGTTTTCAGCTGTGGATCAGATGTTAGAATATTGTGATGCCAAGGGTTTGGCGTAACGGAAGTTCTACCTTGCTATGTCTTGACAGTAAACCTGGGAGGGCTTCTGCTACAAGCACTTCTGGAGTATTGGCCTAGAACACATATCAATCCAATGGATGAAGAAGAAAATGAAATAAATCATGGTTAGTATTTTAATATTTTCCTTTTTTAGGGTTTGTTCATACATTCTGTTTGTTTATATTTTTGTTTCTTTAACAGATACAACTTGATTTGCTGTCTTGTCTCTGTCTCTGTAATGCATTATAGACTAATGTTTTTTAATGCTTTTGAATTTGCTTCACAGTAAAATTTGCTGAGTAGCTTTCTTCTTCTGAAAGTGTCAGCAAATATCTTAAGAACTCTAGTCTGTAAAAAAAGTAGGCGAATAGATTATTCTGAAGTTACAGAAACATGCCTTGATGAAAAACAATTACTGGCAAAACTAAGGCTTGACATGGAAAAGAAACAGCCTAGATAATGACAGCAAAGAGCAATCGTTCAGTTAGGCAACATTAGCCAGTATTCTCTTGATATAATTCCAATTTGCTTCTAGGTATTATAAGCAATATAAAAGAAAGATTTATCAGGAAAAAAATGTTCAATGGATATTAGAATAATACATGAGTAGGTTTATACAAAACCACCTTAGAGTGGTGTTTTAAGGTGATAATGGTAAGTCTAATCAGGCATGAGATAACAAGCGCAGCTATCTAAAATGTGACATAGTGGCTGAATTTCACAGAAGAAGCGACTGTGTAACTCTTTAAGTTTGTGGATTATTTTGAAATTAATTCAACCCAGATCAGAGTTGACTGAAAAGTTTCGTCTTTGGCATTTAAGAAATTGCTTTCTACAGATAATGCAATTAAGAAAACTGGATGTTCATCAAGATATTCCATTTTGTGACAAAGATTGTGCCAAGAGTTAGCTTCTTTCTTCTTTCAAAAATGACCTGCGTAGAGGGTTAAAGCACTTGGCAGGCTTTTCTGGATAAAGTTGCTGATTCCCTTGTGTATTGGCAGTCTACAGCTTGAAAGTCAGACAGTATATGAGAAGTGTAACCAAGGCTTTTGTATTGTTGGAACACGGATGCTGCACTACTTCTTTTGTGAATAGCTGTGGGTTAGTGGAATGTTTAGGATATTCAGAATTGGTCTTCATTTTTCTGTTTGAAAATAACAGTTAAGAAACTGACACTGAACAGCTACTGAAGAAGATAAAGTGCACCTGTTTGACACTGCAATTCGTGCAAGGAGACAAGAACTTAAATGTATATATGTTTATGTGCAGTATTGTTCCTCTCATTAACAGAACTGTTACAAAGAAATCTTTCAAATGTAGGATTTTTCACTTTAATTTCAGTAGCATTCATTCCTTCTATTAGAGAATAGGTTTTCTTTTTTTGGTTTCTTTGCTTGATATGGTTTTTGACCTTTCTTTCACTACATATGTTGCTGGTCAGAAAGCTGAGGAATTAGTTATCTCATGAGACTATGCCATTTAAATTTCTTGTGTTGCTTGAATTCAACATCGCATTCAAATTCAGTAATTAGATGCTGCAGTGTAATCAAGATGATCTTTCTCAGGTGAAAGAAAGCCAGCTAAGTACTTCTATGCAATGTTTCAAGATAACTGAATGACTAGAAGCTGTGCTCTTCAAGAGGTGCATAAATAGTGTTGATTTTTCGTTAATTGTATCCTGAATATCTGATGTGAAATCAGGTTTTTCAGTGTTTGAAGACCATACTATATATGGTCTTATAACTAGCTAAAAATAAATTGAGTTTAGAATGCAGTAACTTCAAGGCAATGTGAGTCTGAGCTTTACTAGTAAACTGCTTTGACATCTGGCAAATCCAGGTAGAAGAGCAAAGGTAACACCCTGCAGAGTTCTATACTGTCAGTGTAGGGGTGGGGGAATAGTCTCGTCTCAGCAGAATCTCTTTAGTTGGTTTCTAATATTAGTGTTGTGCAGTTTGACAAATCCTCAGAATTCTGTTAAGGAACCAGAGAAAACTAATAATCAGGTTTTGGCTCATGAGCTCTGTTGCTCTTTTCTTAAAGGCTTTTGAAACAGGCCTTCTACAAACCTGTGTTGATCCTGTTACTCTCTGGTGTTCCTTTCGATATACTTGCGATGTGTTGGAAATGGGGATTTTCTTGTTTTTCGTGAAGCTTATGATTTTGTTAATTTATGAAATACGTTAGCTATTAGGTGGAGAAGACGCTTTTTGGTCTATTTATACTCAGTTTTAAGGCCTAGTGCAGTCTCACTGTTGTGTATATTTTTTTCCTACAGTGAATGGTGAACAGGAGAACAGAGTCCAGAAAGGAAATGGATACTTCCAAGTGCCACCACATACACCAGTTATTTTTGGTGAGGCTGGAGGACGCACTTTGTTCAGGTATAAAAACTCAAGAGTGTAAATTCAGTGGCTAAACAATCACTTCCTTTGTGCAAGCAAAAGTGTTCTCAAAATGTAATACTTGCATCCGTTTTGCACTGTACATTCAAGACATGCCCTTAACAGGCAAAGTAGGCAGCTGGCAATGGTAATTTTGCGTTGTCCAACAGAGTATGAGGTTTGAACCTCAACAAAGTGTGGGCTTTTACAATGGTAAGAGTTGGATATTGTTCTTGGTTGTATGTTATAGCTTTGAGATCTCTTTGAGTGCCCTCTTCCTGCAAATTGATTAACTATATTTTGTTTTAGAATGCATTCGTGCTACTTTAGATTCCTGTAGAACTTCTCTTACAGGTCTGTTGTGCTGGTCTTTGAGCATTAATGACTCAGACTGGAGATCCTACTCAAGAGTTGGTTTCAGCTCCCAAAATTATAGTTTATGAGCCATTAGAAGGTCCTGAGCTCTGGCAGGCAGGAGCACAGGTTCCGTATTGTAACGTGTATATACTGATTTATTTCTTTTTGTTGTACATTGAAAAGCCTAACTGTGATACATGAAACGTCAAGATACAGTTTAATAGTGCTGCCAAACAAATGCCAACTGTGAAGCGTTTCGTATTTACGGACGTGGTGGATTTTAGGGGTGGTGGATGTTTGATTCATTGTTTTTATTTCCCAGGCTGAATAGACCCAAAAACTATGTAACTTTCAGTCTATGAATTGTTCAGTAAAACAGGGTGACCTTTTTCAGCTTTGAAAAGTGATTTTTTTTTTTTTTCTGCAGTGTCAATGTGTTTACATTGTAGCTGGGGCTTAATATTTGCATCCATTCTCTACTGGTGGATTTTACATCTTATATAGTTTGTTCTGAAGAGAACACTGAAAAGACACCACTGAAGGGAGCAAGCCATGCTTATTGGACCTAAAAGGTGGCTTGCAGGACTCTCTTGACAAAGCACTTAACTGGAATTTATTACATTATGCGTGGCTTTGTTTCACCATTGTATGTGAGCATTTCTTAAAGTTGGTTTTATTCTTTCCATTTGGTGAGGGCTTACCAGACGCTTCACATACAAAGCTCACTTTTCCCAAGCAGAAGAGAATTGCTTTATGCCAGGTGCCTTTCCCCTTCTCCTGACAGCTCCGTATTTCAGCACACGAACATATGCAATCCACGAGCAAAACAGTTTTTTCAATTTCTCTCTACCGTAGCCTACAATGTCCTGAGATACTTCTCCCTGTTTCTGCTCTAGGGATCCGTCATCTTCCTGCAGCTACATTTTCTGGTCTTTACCAAAAATACATGATCACTTCCCCAATAAGTTTGATAATGTGAAGGGCCGGCTAACCAAGTTCAAGCTCCCTGCCTGTTAAAAGGACAGGTCCTTTCCTGAAAGCTTTTTAATGCATATTACAATAATTGTTTTCATTCACAGAGGTTATTTCTGTATGTCTTAGGTTATTATGTCGGGATTCAGGTGGTGAAACAGAATCTATGCTTCTTAATGAAACTGTGCCACAATGGGTAATTGACATCACTGTGGATGTAAGTAGCACATATATAGACTTTGCTTTTTTTGTTGTATTTTTTTAAGGTGAACTACAGTTTGTTTTTTTAACTGTACAGGATCTGAAATGACATTTTAAATTTTTGCTCTGTTTAAAGTAAGTGGACTTGAGGTCTGTATTCAAGACCCCTTGAGATTCATTATTTTTGATATATCTAGATATGGTATTTTTGCTCACTTTCTTTTGACAGAAAGTCCTAGAAAAAGAACTCAAAGCACTGTGCATAATTGGTATCCTTTTCAAGTGTGGAGCTTAGGAACAGAGAATACTCTTCATATTGCTTGGTCTTTTAGTACTACCTAATTTCCTTTGAAATACATGATAATTTATATTCAAAACGAGATATAATATGTGTATCATCTAAATTGAAGCATCTCAGGAGTATGAGTAATTTGGAAGTTGGCTGTGGTGGTTATGTTGATTAAGAATCTCTTGAGTTTTGGTAATTAGTAGCTGAATATACTTAACATACCAGCTGGTGGAAATAGGAGTTGGTAACAATTCGTCCTAAATTAACACTTTTCAAATTGGTTTCCTTCTAGAAAAATATGCCCAAATTCAATAAGATTCCCTTCTACCTCCAACCTCATTCATCATCAGGGGCAAAAACTCTAAAAAAGTAAGTAATGCATATTTGACTCTGAAAACTGTAGAAACAGAAAGGCAACCTTAAAAAAAAAAAGGGGGGAGGGGCAAAAAACGGTTTGCCAGAGAATCATATTGTGCTTGATGAATTTGTACGAGTTTCTAGTCACTTAAGCAGCATCACTCTGAAGCACTGAATTATATCAAAATACTTAAAAGAACTGTAGGTTTCTTTTGGGTTCAGTGGGTGGTTGCTTAACTTCACGCTAAGAAACGTCCAAGAACTAACTACTGAAATTAGACTTTCTGCCTTTTGTGGTATTTAATCAGAAAACAGAGGAACATGTAGATTGTTACGCTGTTTGGAACCACAGTTTTACATTATGTTTCCCATTTCTAACAGCGGTGAGTAATCACTTTTTAAAAGGAAAAGATACAGAACCTGACAGCAGGGAGTGCAAGAAAGTCTGCCCATCACGTTAGCTGTAACTGGGAGCTGTACAGGTTAGAAAGCAACGCAGGTCCTCAGATACCAAGTCAATGCCATAGACAATAAGCCTGCCATTTGTATGCGGCAATTTTTGGTGTTTTCCACAAATATCTAGTTCCTCTTGAAGTCTTGTTGAATTCTTCACATCAGAGACAATTTGTAAAAGAGGAGTTTCATAGACTTTTTGTGTACTTTGTGGAAAAACTGCTGCTGCTTATTACTTTAGAATGCCATTTTGTTAATATGTTAGGGTGAACAGCATATTCTGGCTTATCTCTTTCATTTTTCCACATCCTTTGTCCTTCTCTTACTAATCCCTTTTCTATTGAGAGAATGAGACTTGTGTACAATACTTTTCATCTAATGTTTGATTTTAATTTGATCTTTTGAATAACTTACCACTTCTGAATCTCTTTTGCTATGTGAATCTTTGGATAAATAGCTGTTACTATCATGGTATTCTGGATGATCCTGATAATTTACTGTTAAACTTAGAATGTAAAGAGCTTCTCTGTGTAGTTGTGTAGTTTGCTACAGATTAGGGCATTCTGAAGATAAGCAATACAGTTTCTCAGGTTTTTTTCCTCCCAAACTTTGCTTACCTTATATAGAGACCGACTGTCAGCGAGTGATATGCTTCAGGTGAGGAAAGTGATGGAACATGTGTATGAGAAAATCATAAACTTGGATAATGAGTCTCAGACAACTAGCTCTTCCAATAATGAAAAAGCAGGAGAACAAGAAAAAGAGGAGGACATTGCTGTGCTAGCAGAGGAGAAGATTGAACTTCTGTGCCAGGACCAGGTAAGTTAGTCAGGCTTTTTAGCCTGTGGACAAAACCAATGTCTAACAGTGTATCAGTTGTGAATTTCTGAGCACTGAGCTTGAAATATGCTGTAGATTATCTGTTACCTTTAAAACAAAGTAAGTGTTTTGACGTCACGTTAACTGACTGCTGACACAAGTTCAGACAGTTTCAGACAGCTAGATCAAAGAATATATATAGTACGCCTGTTTTGATTTGGTCTGGTAGTAGCCTTTGTAGGATTACTTACTCACACTCAACAAATGGACTTAAAACACTTCCAGAGAGTTCCATTTCTAGTATTTTTGGAATGGTTTTGATTATACATTTCTATCAGAGTTTAAAATTTGTCCAAAATCATGAATTGTCTAGTAAGTGTAACAAGTGCATGAGGATTAAATATTGAGGAGGTGATTGTAATACAAAGTTATGTGGTACATCGGTAAAATCTTTCAGTGATGCCACAGGTTTACTTGCTAGTTGAAAAATCTGAGCCTTTGCATGGTTCATCTTTGGTGCCAGTTCACCCATAGGATTGTTTTGCCCAACCAGACCATTTTGTCTTTGAATATCTGACAATCTAACAGATTTGTGGCATAAAAGATGAATTTTTACTGTTTAGGTTTTAGATCCGAATATGGACCTTCGAACTGTAAAGCACTTCATTTGGAAGAGTGGTGGTGATCTGACACTTCATTATCGCCAGAAGTCAACGTGAAGGGAGTGGTGGACCCCCATGGTTACTTATTTACTTGACCATACTGTACTGGTTCCAGGAGTAGTACTATAGAAGCCCACTGAACCCCTAAGGTAGATGAGACTTCTAATGACTCAGTATGGACGGAAAGTATACATTTAATTGAAGTGACTAATAGATCTGTAATATAGAGGAAAAAATCTATATGATTTAAACTAAAGTCTGTCCTAGTCTCAGCCAAATGAGATGGGAAGTCCCTGAGTGGTTCGTGTTGTGTGAGATGTACAGAAAATGGATGATTATCCAGTGCAGACTTTTGCTTCCTTCTTTTTGCTTTTGTTTTTACAGAACGTAATATCCTCATCTGCTCATGCTCGATACGAAATTGTTTTGGCCATATTAGTCGCTGTGCTCACAATATAATTCAGAGCCGCACACAAGGTATTTTTAGTACATTCCATTCATGAAGTTCCTACAGTGATTTCTCAGAGGTTACTCAAACATTTCTACCAGCTAAAGAAATTTGGAAAAGAAAACCAACAGAAAATAGTTATTGCATACTTCAAAGAATCGGCCCATTTAATTGCAAATGAAGGGTTAACATGAGACTTGTTTTACTACTGCAACTCAATTGTTGCTTTAGAGAGCTGTTGACGTGCAGAATAAGAACACTAGATAAATATTGTAGCAGGGTCAGTCCAATGATGCTGTGCATCATAATAGAGTGAACATGCTTTCCAGCAACTTAGAGTTGGGTTTTTATTAATATATGTAACTACTTCCTGCACTGTGTCCTAGGTGTTCTAAAGACACACTAGTCTAATTTTTGGTAACTGTGCTCCAAAACTATGTGACATTTTGTTGAAACTTCAGACCATTCTGAAAATAACTTCATATGTTTCATGTTAAACTTTAGAAACTTCTCAGCAGAATTCATATTCATGATATAAAATTACTTATTCTTCTTTTCTGAAATTTTATATGCAGTTGTTCTTTTGTTAGATTTATGCAGATCTTCTTTTCACTGTTATTTCTAAAAATCTGTGACTGTCATAGACTCATAGTAGTCTTTTATAGAATTTAACTTATTGGGGGGAGGGGGTAAAGGCATTTCAGCTTTTTGTGAGAAAATGTGGGGCTGTCTCAGCAAACCATTTGTAGCCAGAACAAATTACAAATCCTCATAAAGAAATTGTGTAAAAATTACTCTTGTCTGAGGCAGAAGCACAAGTGCCTTCAAAGGGCAGTATATTATTTGAGTTTCTTCAGGAGACATATGCTCTTGCCCTTCCTGTATCTTGCTATCAAGGTTTAGGTCGAGGCCTAAAGAAAGTCCCAATATTACTGGGATTGTATTGGTCAAGCAAAAAGTAAAATATTTTTCATCGTATTTTGTTTGGAAAAACAGTTAAATCATTACCTTCTGCACTCTTAACCTTGCTAAACAAATTCGTTGCTTAAGCAAAAAATATGGTTCAGAACTAAGCTAGCATGTCTTTTTTCCCTGTCTTTTGAGTTTCAGTTTTTAATCCCATTTCTGTGTATGCTTAGTTTGGCACAATTGTGCTATAATTGCCCATTTTTAGTGATATTTGTGAATTAAATGGCTAAACAGAACTGTAACTTTTATTGATAAATTGTCCTGATTTGTATTTATTAATAGCAAGGGTCTACGTTTGTTAGAGTAGGCACTGTTTGGGTTTTTGTTTTTTTCTGGTTGTCTTGCTGCCCCTTTGTATGCATTGGAATTGCTCCCAGTAATTTTGTTTGAAATCAGCCAAGGTTGTAATTTTCCTTCTTTTTTTCTTTCTAACCATCCCGAAACACAGTTTCAGGAAAGATTGACAGAAGAGTCTGCAATGCCAGAAGGGTAAATGATGTTTCACAGTTGTATAGAATAAAAGGCTTTAGTTAAAATATTTTCAGATTGTTTTGTGTATTGGATCGATTGTGCAATTTTAGAGCTTGGACCGTTTCCATTTAATGGTTGTATTACAAAGGGCTTCAAAGTCCTTTGAAGCCTGAAGTGATGGGAAAGGCTGAAGAAATGGCAGTGCCTTAACAAAATCCCTTAAAGTTGATCTTGTGATATGGTTGGATCTAAGACCTTAGCAGGCACGTGAGCCTTCAAATGCGAGCTCCGAGATCCCGTGGAGGTGGAGAATGTGCTCCAGTATTGCTGTTTGCGTGGGCAGTACGTGCTTTTGTATTATGAAAATATTTTGTGCTAACACCAAGGTAATAGCTAAGAAAAGACAGCCCTGCTACAAATGACTCATGCCGATTGGCACAGAGTTTTCTGGATGTGGAAAGGTTACAGCCCTGTGAGGGACACACGGGAAGCCAAGACTGGGTTTCCTGATGCTGGCAATGTGGTACAGAAAGCTCAAAGCATTTGCTGTGGGGGCTGTCAGCTGGGCTGCTCTTGGAGAGGACACGGTGATTCAGTGAGCAAACATGTTCCCAGAGACTCCCAGCATCCATCTTAGATGGAGTGCAAAGCGAGAGGGGTCTTTTTTACTTATGCCCTTTCAATTTCTGTCACCTTTTCTGGAGTTGTGCAGTCTGTAAGAGCCCTGAAGGCAAGAACAGGAGAGGCCCCTGCGCAGTGTTCAGGAATTAACGCGAGGGTCACAGCTCACTGGGGCATTGTGAGCAGAGGTAGAGTTCCAGTTTGCCAGAATCATAGAAAGTGCTGCAGATGTGTAGAAGTTTCTTTAATATCCAGGTTCATAACAGAAAGGAGTTGTAAATCTAGTATTTAGTAATCTCTCTCCCACAAAAAACTTTTAATTTGCCTATGACAGGCATTTTTTTTTCTCTTCAGGTGAGGTAGTGCGGAGAACAGGAGAGCGAGGCTCAGTAGATGCAGCTGAAGTGCAAGTATCATTTTAAGAAGACAGGAACTACTTGAAGGGTTTAGCTTTAACTTTCAGAAACACTAAAAAGATACTCGCAATAAGCCCTAGGCAGGAGATAATAATGCAGTTCTACCTCATTGCTGGAAGTGGTGGGAAAATAAGGGACTTGGGATCTATTAGTTTCATTGCCCATGTTCCGTGGGAGAGGGGCAACCAGGGACAGACCGTGCGCTCCTCAGTCAGCCTTGAGCAGAGCTGCGCGGAGGGCAGCTGCCCCATGGCTCACATCGTGCAGGCTAAAATGTCAGCCTCTGAGTTGTGGACTCAGGGGAGGTGGGGAAGTTGCAGAGGTCGCTTTGCTGAGGAGAATTAGTGCAGAGGTGCCAGGGAAGGGGAGAGAATGCGTTTGCCGAAGGTGGAGGCACAGAGTGACTGTTAACGGCATAAATCCAGTTACAGCACTCCAAATTTTGGCCAGTATATTACACCAAGGCATTACTTTTTCTTTCACAGAGGTCCCATTTGAATCAAACTTCATCCCTAGAAATTTCTTGAACATGACATTTAGCATCAATCTTTAAAGCCCCTGATCTTCCACTTGTAGATGTGCTGATGGCTCCCAAGCAGAGCCAGGGGGAGTTACCACCCAGCTAGAGAACACCACTGGTAAAAGCACATGCGCACCTAAATATCAAGAAAGTGATTGACTGAAATAGCTCCCTGTACTGTGTGGTGGAGGTTTTTCTGTAAGCAGCTGTACAAACATCATGCAGGCCAGAGCTACTGATTAGAGACTGGGTGGGACATGCCCAGTCTCTCTCTGAGGGTATTGTGACACCGTTCTAGCCATCTTTTTCGTGGGACTGTGAATGCTTAATTACTTTCTGTAGCTTAGAAATGTAGCTTAAACCAAGCAATTGTGATTAAATTGCCGTTGCAGCAGAACCAATGAAAATTAGTGTTTGGTTAAGGCAAAGCAAAGAGGGAGAATGTGTGGACATTAGTGGCAATGCCCAGGAAGTAAGATTAGCGTGATCAAATAAAATGTAATGAGTAACCTGTAGCTGCTTTCCCTTAACAGCCAGAGGCAGTGGTGCCTAGTTCTTTCAGAATTGCTTGGAGGTGAAAATATTTGCCCAATTATGGGGGAGGATGGAGAATGGTAAGGGTATTGAGGGGAATTCCGAATTAAAGGCTTCTCTCTGGGATGCTGCCTCTGCTACTTTCCATTTCTGCTAAATTCATGGTGCAGCAGCACAGGGGTGCTGGGATAGCTGAAGTCTCCTGCTTCCTCAGGTAGTCTTGTAATCCCTAGTGCTAGGTGAGATTAAATTCTGAAACCCCATCCAGCTGGAAATGCATAATTCAAGCCCATCAGTACGCATGTAAGTGGTGTGATCTCTGCTCAGTGTTGCAGTCTGGTAGTCACTTATGGCTCTCCTGCTGTTTCTGCTTGCAGCAGCAGCGGGAACACAGGGCAAGAGGCCTGTGACTCCAGAACTGGATTCTCTCTGGATCCAGGTGCTCTCAGGAGCTTCTAAGGCAGGTCCTGCTTGACCAACCTGATCTCCTTCTGTAACCAGGTGACCTTCCTAGTGGATGAGGGAAAGGCTGTGCATGTCATCTGCCTGGACTTTAGCAACGTCTTTGACCCTGTTCCCCACAGCATCCTCCTGGAGAAATTAGCTGCCCAGGGTTTGGATGGGTTTACTCTCTGCTGCATAAAGACCTGGCTGGGTGGCCGAGCCCAGAGAGTGGTGGTGAATGGAGTTAAATCCAGCTGGCAGCCGGTCACGAGTGGTGTTCCCCAGGGCTCACTTTTGGG